ATGGATGGATGGATGGATGGATGGATGGACGGACGGACGGACGGACAGACAGACAGACAGACAGACAGACAGACAGACAGACAGACAGACAGACAGACAGACAGACAGAAAGAAAGATAGGTGCAATGGTCTCCAACATTTCTCAAAATACCTTCTAAAGTGTTCTTCACCGTGCCGCCCAAACTCAAACATGTTATTAGTATATTATGTATATAGAAAGTGCACAAAAAATGTATAGCTAAGTCACCTTAAATGAAAGTGTTACCCTGGTTTTTTTAACCAGACACATTTAAATGAGCATATTTGGAGCAGTAACAACACAAAACCGTGATATTTTTATCCAATTTTTAACATGCCGTCAGAATCTAATCCCATGCCACACACACACACACACACACACACACACACACACCCGCACGGATATAAAATCTTGTTGGCGTTCTGTAATTCCAGCATGCATTGTTCAGCAGCAATCTAATAAAGGTTAACAAGGTTCAACAGTGGAAGAACAAATTGAGGAAAACAAACGCTCCGCTCGTGCTTTGTTTCGAGAGCAGCTTCACATCCATATTCCGCTGGAGTTCGGTGTGTTTGCAGATTCTCGTGGGGTCGTGGGCTGCACAAACTGGGTTAATTAGCTCAGAAAGCAGTGTAAAGTGTGCAGCTGCAGCGCGGTTACTGACAGACAGACACCTGCCAGAGGGATTACACAGCTGAAGATGAAGAGGTGAGAGTCTGTGTGCAACAACTGTACTGTTAATATACAGAATTATTAGCAGTAAATTATATTAGACTAGATATTCTTCAAGACACTAGTATTCAGATTAAAGTAATAACAATGATAATAATAATAATACATTTTATTTAAAGGCGCCTTTCTAGCAACTCAAGGACACCGTTCAATCAACAAGAGCAATAAAACAACAAGAGAAATAATAAATTATTAATAAATTATTAATTAAAATTAAAATTAAGTATTAAAAGCCATATTAAATAAGTGGGTTTTGAGTCTTGATTTGGACAGTGTAAGGGAGTCAGTGTTTCTGATGGCAGGTGGTAGTGAGCAGAGCGGCTAAGTGAAGTTTATTCATAAACTAATTTCGAGAGGATCACGTGCTTATGATTTATCACGGCTGGTCTCGCATTTGCTCATAATCACTAATCTTCCAATCATATGAGCCCTAAGCTACTATAAATAGCCTCAGTTTTCAGTTCACTTTATCTTCGTTTGGAAGAAACCCCCCTCCTCCCCTATTCTCCTCCTTTACCTCTGATTGGGCGGCACGGCGGCCCAGTGGTTAGCACTGTGAGCCCCACAGCAAGACCACTGCCAGCCCTGGTTCCACAGGACCGGTGGGTGTTTCTGTGAGGAGTTTGTATGTTCTCCCCGTGTCCGTGTGGGTTTTCCCCGGGTTCTCCGGTTTCCTCCCAGCATCCAAAGACATTCAACATGCATAACAATCAAGCTTGTCTAATCCCTTGTGTTCCCTTAGCTACTGCAGCAGGGGAGTTCTGAGATCCACCGAGCTCAGGCTCCCCGCTTGCTCTGCCAACGGGAGGAAGCCCCGGGCTCGAGGAGCCCTTGAGCTCGGGGCTCTCTCCCGGGACAGCATGCCAAACAAGGTTTTATAAATCATCAGCTAAGTGTGAACTCTTGAAATGGTATTTAAAGGCTTAACTAGGTTAATTAGGTTAACTCGGCAGGTTAGGGTAATTAGGCAAGTCATTGTATAATGATGGTTTGTTCTGTAGACTATCGAGGAAACATATAGCTTAAAGGGGCTAATAATAATGACCTAAAATGGTATTTTAAAAATTAAAAACTGCTTTTATTCTAGCCGAAATAAAACAAATAAGACTTTCTCCAGAAGAAAAAATATTATGAGACATACTGTGAACATTTCCTGAATCTGTTCAACATCATTTGGGAAATAATGTAAAAATAAATAAATAAATAAATAAATAAATCAAAGTGGGCAAATAATTTTGACTTCAATATGTGTGTTAATTAACTGAATTTTTTTGTTTAGTGTTTATTTTCTGTTTGGAGTTGCTCATGACGTGTTGAGTGCTCTGTCCACTTTTGATGTTGAAAATTCAACTCTACAGTTTTAACAACAGGCCTGGTAAAAGAGGTGTTTTTTTTCCTCAAAAAGTGGACCTTGCTGCAGTTATTCGCCCCATTTTCTCTTTAATTATGAGGCGTTCAGGTGCTGTATGTGCATTTTTGTCTCTTCTAAAGCATAGAAATACCATAATATGTTTGCAGATATTCAGAAACATGCTCAGTGAGCATTTTTGATTGTCTGAAACACAATGCTGAAGTCAGATATTCTGCTTTGAGCATGTGCGTTACGTGCCGGAACACTGTCTTTGTTTTGGTCCCTTTAACCCACCCAATGCCAGTTTAGCCAATTATATTTCAGCACCTCGGGTTGTCACATGGTGGAAAACAGCGTATTTCATTCATTCAGTCAGGAAGGCTCTCAAAGCATGCGTCCGTGACCGAAATGCGACCTCTGGTGGACTGTAGCAGACTCCGAAATGAGACACAGATTCAGAGTTCCACTTGAGGTTATTAATTAGCAAACAATATAAATATTACAAACCTAAACATTAGATGAGCAGGTCACATTGTTGTTGTCCAACAACACACTATGTAAGGAAATTTGCAGTGATGAGCAATTTGGCTGCACCAGACGAAAGCATTTAGTAGCATTTAACACCGAATTTAACACCGAATAAAGCACATGAGCTGCACCTGAGCTGATCATTGGTTTCTGTTGTTCAGCTTTGAGAAACAGAAGCCGTTTCTAAAAATGCAGTTCAGGTTGGTTAATCTCCTTTATTATTATGGAGAATGTTGCTTCTATCGGGTGCCATTGCTTTTAGCTAGAACACTACTTAAATCAGCTTTTAGGCTCGATAACTTGCTTCTGTTGATGTGGTCAATCTGGCAATCTGCACTTGCATGTGTTTTGAAGCAAGCATGCAATACCTAGTTTAACCACTGGGTGTCAAACTTACATACTGCACCTTTAAATGCTGCATTTTAGGCAGTACTTTTTGAAGGGTCAGCTTGTCAGATGGTCTTCATAACCTCACTTTTTGATGTACCATACGATGCATGGCACTAGTCCAGCAGTGGGTTGTTTTATCGTGTGCACTGGGGTGTTACTCACGTAAATGCTGACGGCTGGGTTATCGAAAAGCATGGCGTGGCTGGACTGTGCACTGGAGGATGTGAAGATCACCACAGACTTGTTCGCCTTCAGCAGATTCACCGTAAACACTGAAGGATTATCCTGAGGAAACACAACAACAGACACACTCTCAGTGTGATGATATCCGTGCATAACCGCAGATGTGTTGAAAACACCATATATGGTCATTTAAATATACATAACAAATATAAATATATTTAAATATAGTTCATAACAATTATGTTGAGGGCATAATGATCAGCTCTAAACAAACATTTGGGTAAAATAACAGCTATTTATGTGGATACACAATCAGCCCAGGTTCATTATTGATACGTACTCCTGTATACATTTCCGGAGAGCGCAAATTTATAGCAGTTTTTGATTTCGCGAATCCACCAGAAGTCGATGTGTACGCTTTTTCAGATCTCAAATTTCTCTTGCGAGTGCCATTCACACCTGCTATTCTCACGTAAATCCATCAGAGGCCGCTGTGTACACTTTTTCAGATCTCAAATTTCTCTAGTAAGTGCCATTCAAGCCTCTGTTCTCATCTAAATCCACCAGAGGGCGCTGTGTGTGCTTTTTCAGATCTCAAATTTCTCTCACAAGTGCCATTCACACTTGCTGTTCCCATATAAATCCACCAGAGGCCGCTGTCGATTGACTGACTGATCGTTCAGCCAACCGATAACTCCACCCGCCGCCTTCCCTAAACCCAACCGATAGTGTTTTCCAAAGCAATCCAGAAAAAGAAAAGCCCTCGCCTGATTTTTTTACCACGTTTTCAGAATTTACCACATTCTTACCCTGTTATTTACTTGTTTATTTTAGCGTTCATTTTAAAGATTAATAAAATTAAATCAAGGGTTTACTCACACTATGTACACTTGCCTTGAATTGGGCCTAAGCACGCTTGTACCCCCTCCCATCTCCCCCGGCGGCCCGCACTCACATTGCATTCGAGCTTGGGCACGAATGCACACACACACACACACACACACTCACACTTATTAGCATAAACACACACTCAGTTATTTGCACCAATACACACACACACACAGTGAGTGTGAGATTGCTGAATATTATTACACACACATGCACACACACACTCTCTCTCTCTCACAAACAGACACTAACACACATATGCATGCACACACTAACACACTAACACACTAACACACATGCACATACACACAAGCATGTGCACACACAAACACAGACACACACTCACTGACATCACACACACACATAGACACACACAGACAGGGGTAGGGGCGTGTCTCTGTGTGGTCCAGCAGCGGGCGTGGCCTGCTCGTGATGATGTCATCGTCTGGATCTCTGGAGCCGCAGCAGAGCAGAAGAATAACGGGAAGCTGCTCTGCATCAGCAAAAGCCCCCAGAAAAAGAGCTCTTGAGAGAAAACGCGACGCGCAGGAGGAACACAATGGTATCTTGAAAACACAGCAACAAAAATAGCCCCGCGGTGGACATTGTTTGACCCGAGGTGGACAGTGATGCATTATGGGAGGTCTGCGTTTCTGTAAACACCATTGAGGATTACTGAACATTATTAACACGCAGCCGGAGTGTTTCCTTCAGCACACACTTTCCATATCACAGCACACACACACACACACACGTCAGCAAACATCACACACTGGAGCACAATAAAGACGTCTGTGGTGGACAATAACTACATCTGAGGAGACGTCTATTGCTCAAATCTGTATATATCAATTCAATTAATAAATATTATTAA